CTGGTGGGAGTGCGAGGAAGCCCCGCCAAGGCCCTCCCTGGCCCCAGGCAGACAGGGGTGGGGAGAGGCGAGGAGGAAGCAACTTACCCTCCCTCTTCTCCTGCCTTCTCCTGGCTGAATGAGGGCCGGTAGCGGGGCGGCCGGAAGCAGGGGGCGGGGCTTCGTCATGTGCCCCGCCCCCCGTACCTCACCCGGGGGGACTGCGATCCCCCACGATCCCCCCCGAAATGACCTCTGCACAGGACTGCTTTATGGCACCTCACCAAGCACACAGATACGGTAATACAGGGAACCCAATGGTTCTGAGGCTCTGGGCATCTTTGGGGTTTTAAGAAGGGATGCTGAGCCTCACCCAAAATGGCTGTTTCGGGAGGTGGAGCCAGGGGCAGATTAAGGCTCACGGGTGCCCTAAACACTGACCAATCTTGGTGCCCCCCTCCTTTCCACACTGACCCAGTCCATTTTAGTCGTTGACCTGTCTGACCAGATATACAATGCAGGTTGCAGCAATACAAAAATTTATTCATATGATAACACAATATACTGTATAAACTAAGCTCTTCACCCTTTCCCCAACTTTGTGGTGCCCCCTTTGGCCCTGGTGCCCTAAGCACGGACTTAGTCTGCTTAATGATTAATCTGCCCCTGGGTGTAGCCAAACCCCAAATGGCTGCCTCCAGGGGTGGCGCCTCCCTCCTCACACCTCCTGGGAAGAAAGAAATCCTGACGGGGCAATGGAACCACACGTTGACTACGGAAAGCCCAGTGCGACTCATTCTCCAGTGGGAAACCCTTTCATTTGAAGGAGGGCAACCAGGAAAAAGCCCTGCCTTACAAAGGCCCCACCCACTTTTTGAAAAGCTCAGCAGGCGCCAAGTAGCGGCCGGCACCCGTGGGCACCATGTTGGGGAACCCTGCGGTAGTACAGCTATTCATATTCAGTCTATCGCTATAACTTTTTTCATTATAGGGTTGCCAGCCCCCCCAGTCTGTGCAGGGCTTCCCCCGCGTCCAGGGGCTTCAATCCACCCCGGCCAGCTGGCCCATGGGGGAAGCCCCGCCCCCAAGCCCCACCCCCAAAGCGCCCCCAGCCGCCTGGCCACCCCTCTCCCTCCGAATTTACCTTCGTGCTTCAATCACTCAGTCAGAAATTTGGAACAAGCTAACTTTTTCAAATGTGCCTATAAGCAGCAAGAGTAAACGGCACTTTGAAATTTAGTCTTAATTTCTGAGTGAAGGACGACCGATAATTTAAATAAATCATCCTAAACAGCAACCCGGGGTCTCCCCACACGACGATTTCCTGGGTTTTCTTGTTGTTGTCATCATCACGACTTAGTAAGTACAGTTTCCTCACATTTCCCCTGCCCTATCCCTGCAACAATCATCCCCACCACTACCCAGGGGACTTTTGGGTTTTCTAAATCCTCAACTGAGTATTGTTATAGCCAGGGGTCGTTTCGTAGAAAAAGAGCTAGGGGAACTCATTAGCATAACTCATTAGCATATGCCACACCCCCTGACATCAGGGGCCCGGCGGTGGACCTGCAAGGCCAGCGGGAGTGCGAGGAAGCCCCGCCAAGGCCCTTCCTGGCCCCAGGCAGGCAGGGGTGGGGAGAGGCGGGGAGGAAGCAACTTACCCTCCCTCTTCTCCTGCCTCCTCCTGGCTGAATGAGAGCTGGAAGCGGGGCGGCCGGAAGCAGGGGGCGGGGCTTCGTCATGTGCCCCGCCCCCCTGCACCTCACCCGGGGGAACTGGGTTCCCCCGCGTTCCCCCCCGAAATGACCTCTGGTTATAGCATCTCCTCAGTCCCGGCTACCCTCTAGCTTGGCTGAGTCTTGGTATGGATGAGCATCTAGGTGCTGATGGGGAGAGTCAAGAGCCACAGGCACACTCTAGAATCTTCAGAGCTTTAATAACTCAAAACATAAAAGGCTACTTAAACCAAACACAGGGAAACGGGAATTCATCAGGGCACAGCTAGAGATGCTACAGATTACTAGAAAGAAGCCCAAGAGAGTGTCTCTTGCTAATCCTAACCTGACCAGTGAATTACCTCGACATTTCCCTCCTGGAAAATAGGCTCATGTGTAGCAGAAACTTAACAAAGGCTTCACACAGATGGCAGTCTTTGGTTTCCCAGTTCCTCCTTCTTGGCACCCATAGTTTTGGCCCCTCAACTCCAGCTTGAGAGGGTCCTTGTGGGTTTGGCTGCACCAAGGCCCAACTGAGTAACAATTGCCCAGTTGCGGTAAGGAAGTTCTGTGATGCCTGAGCTGGGAACAGAAAATGTGCTTCCCAACAGCTCCCAATCCAGATCATGTGTCACAAAATTGCTAAGAGAAAGGAACCACCCTTTTTGAGAGATCCTTGCTTCCAAAAAGCATAAAGACAAATTAAAGTTTTCAGTCTACTGTCTGAAGCAGACATTTTCTCCAGGGGAGCGGACCTCAGTTCTCCTGTTCTTCCTTGAGATCTCCTGTTAAGTATGCAACTCAACAACAAGATAAGTAACAAGTGAAATCCGCTTTATTCGAGAACAAAAACATCCAAGATCACACAAGACAACACACCACAAAATAACAGTGGAGCACAACTCCTTTTAAACTCTCCCGGGCTGGGATAGCCAACGCCCTCTCATAGTTAACATCCAATCACATTGTAAAGATAGCATCCAATCATTTGTCTTCCCTCCAGCACAGACTCTTACATTTTATTGGTTACAGACATTGCTTCAGCCAATGGCATTGTTTGAGATTAGAATCCGCTGAGGTCTCAAGCTTAACATAGGTTTAGAAGGATTGAATACACAACATCTCCAGCCACCACCTGGAGACTGGGGACCCTATAGGGGCTCGCTTAAAAGGCTGAGAGCAACAATGTGGTAGTTCTTGTACTGGCAATAACCCAGAGTGTCTTGTTTTTGGAGGGAACAGTGCCTGCTGTCAGATATTATTACTGGGCACTGGAGCACCTATATTCACTTGATATGAGGCATGGGGTTTGATGATATTGTCTATCATGCCACTGACCGTTTTATTGCTTTTACTGTTTTATTGTTTTATGGACTACATGTTGGAAGCTGACCTGAACCCACTTGTGGGATAGGGCGGGGTACAACAACAACAACAACAACATGTCAGCTTCATTACAAACCACTACCATTGCTCATCCCAGAATTTCAGCATCTGCTTTCATTTTTTTAAATAAAGGTGGAGCACATTTCTAGTCCTCAAGGTAGTAAGAGGTACACTGAAAACATGCAGGTTGTTTCTACAGATGGGAGCGCACGTACGCAGGGCTTTTTTGTAGAAAAAGTCCAGCAGGAACTCATTAGCATAATAGGCCACACCCAGAAGCAGAAACTCATTAGCATATTAGGCCACACCCCTGACCGCACCACTCATTAGCATATTAGGCCACACCCCTGTGTTACCAGAAGTGTGGTCATCCAGCCACACCCACCTTTTGCTTCTTATTCTGTTTACCTTGTTTGTGGTCAAAACCCAGGGCTTTGTTGTATCAGGAACTCCTTTGCATGTTAGGCCACACTCCTAATGTAGCCAGTCCTAATGAGTTTCTGCCGTTGGGCGTGGCCTATTATGCTAATGAGTTCCTGCTGGGTGTGGCCAACTTGGGAGCCAGCCGGAACTCCGTTCCTGTGCGTTCCTGCCCAAAAATAGCCCTGCATACGTATGAATAACCTTTTCGCAGCTACCCATCTGCACGGCTCAGTTCCTGAACTGCCATTACCCAAACTTTGCCTGGGAGATCTACTGAACAAGGTTGCTGGGAAAGCAAAAGTAACACCAGAGATTGCAACCCACTGTGTAAGTGCGCAGCAATCCGTTGAGGGCCAGGAGGTGCTTCAAGCTGCTTGTGGCCTCTGCCTCCACATTTAAAAGGCTCCAACGCTCCCTCTAAGCTGTGCAGTCTTGTGAGCAAAAATTCTACTTTGTGAGCTACTGGCATTAAAGTTGTGAGCGAGCGATTTGGCTGCTGCAGAAATCCGTTTGCTCTGGAGCCATCCTTCCTGAGCTGAGACAAAAAATGTGTGAGCTGGAGGCTAAAGAACTGCGAGCTAGCTCACACTAACTCAGCTTAGAGGGAACACTGGACGTGAACTAAGGCCAGAGAGAAGAGGGCAGGTGACGAGCAATGAAGATGGGACCAGTCAGGCCAAGCCCTCTTTCTTTCTTTCCTCCCTTACACAGAAACCCAGCCGGGAACAAGGGAAGGTGAACTACGCCCTGACGTTTGTCCTGCTGCCCTGCAATTGTACAAAGGAAGTGAAACCCCTCTCGGAATCGTACCAAATCAGCCTTTCTGGGGCTGGCTATTACATTTCCCTGCAAGCATCAAACCGAGCTGGCCGGGCCCCGCCTTTTGCCTTCCATCTCCCACCGGCAGAGCAAGACCCAGGTGGGTGTGAATGCCCAGTGCCCGCCTGGCCAGTCCCCTCTTTCGCGGGAGCCCTCCCTCTTTCAGTTTGGGGCAGTGGGTGCTGGCCCCTTTGGACTCCCCCAGGCCTTCTGCTGCACCCCTCAGTAGCCTTCTTCTGGGCCCTGGGGGTCCTGTGGAGTGGCAAGAGATTTCTCCATGCAGATGCCTCGGCCGCCAAGGGCCTGGGGCTACCCCATGCAGGGGTTCCCACATTCCCTCCTGGGCATATCAGCCCCCTGGGGATTCTAAGGCCAAAAGTCCTCGACTCACACTGAGCTCCGGAAAGTCTGAAGTGCTGTGGCTTGAGGGGAGGGGGGCAGCGTTTGCACCCCAACTAAGGACTCCGAGGTCTGCAGGGGCTGAGTAGCCATGCTGAGCCCCTGTAGACAGGCAGCCAGTGGCCACTCAGCACCATCGTTCTGCTCCTTTCTCTCCTGGCTCGCGGCCCCAGGTCTGCCCTTCCTGCGCAGCCGTCTGTCTGGCAAGCACCTGTCCATCGAGTGGGTGGTGAAGACCGAGATAGACGCCTATTGCCTTGAGGAGCAGCCCCTGGGGGAGGCCCTCCGAGGAAAGCCATGTGAAGAGGAAGCCCCCGACAAGGACACTGTTGTGAAAAGCTCAGGTAACATTGCCCTTTTGGAGAGGGGCCTTCTCACCCCCTCCCCCTGGCCTCCCTCAGTGAGCATCTTCCTCTGCCCAGATCAGCTTTGCCTCGTAGCTCACACTACCCAACACACACACACACACACACACACACACAGAGTAGGTGCTTCTTCCCAGAATCCCTGGCTTTATGTTCTAGGAACGCTGGAGCCCAACAAATGCTACCGCCTGGCAGTGCACGCTTTGGATGCCGAAACACGTGACTGGTCGACTTTCGCATTCACACACCTTTACTCTAGAAACAGTGAGTGTTTCTGTCCTCTGCTGTACACATTCTGTTATGTCTTATCGGTATAACATCTCATGTAAAGCTTAAGACCAAGACAAGGATTGTAAACTGGAACAATCCTATTAAGACGCTGAACTGCAGGCTGTGGAAGGTCAGTAGTTCAGCAGTTCAAGACCCGAGTTGCCGCATGACGGAGTGAGCTCCCATCTCTAGTTCTAGCTCCTGCCAACCTAGCAGTTCGAAAGCAAGAAATTGCCAGTAGATAAATAGGTACCACTTCGGTGGGAAGGTAACAGCGTTCGGTGCACCTTGGTGTTTAGTCATGCCGGCCACATGACCACGGAAACGTCTTCGGACAGCGCTGGCTCTTCGGCTTGGAAACGGAGATGAGCACCGCAACCCTAGAGTCAGACTCGACTGGCTTTCGAGCAAGGGAAACCTTTACCTTTACCTTTTTACCCAAGCAGATTACAGGGAAATGTTCAGGAGGGAACAGATCTGATTGGGTGTTATCTTTGTAATATCACTGGTCCTTAACTGTTCCAGGGGCGTGGCTACACCAGCCCGGGATAGTTTAAAAAGGGAGCTATGCTCCACTGTTCTCTGTGTGTGTTCTCTGGTTGTTCCTGTTACTTCAATAAAGCTGATTCACTGTTACTTATGACACGGTGTTGAGTTCCATACTTAACACATTCACTTGGTCAGACAGTAGAGAAAACAAGCAGACCCCACCTGGCCACGGAGTTCCAGTTCTAGTTGTGTTCTGCCTTTATATCCACACCTTGTTTCTTAAAGCCTTTAGTCGGACACGTGTCCACATGATGTGCTACATCAAGCTCCTAGCCCTCAATACTGCTTAGTGTTCCCTTTCTACAGTGCCCAAAGGCATCCATTTGTCGGCCTAAAATGTCCAGCTCGTAGATCTGTAAGGTGGGGGGGGGGAGGAACCAGCAGCCCCTCTGAGCACTGCCAAACGGCCGTTCAGTTGGTTGGTGTGAATGAGTGGCCTCTGGCAATACTTCCTCTAAGCTGTGGGGTCTTGTGAGCAAAAATTCTACTTTGTGAGCTACTGGCATTTAAAGTTGTGAGCGAGCAATTTGGCTACTGCGTAAATTAGTTTGCTCTGGAGCCATCCTTCCTGAGCTAAGACAAAAATCTGTGAGCTGGAGGCTAAAAAACTGAGCTAGCTCACACTAACTCAGCTTAGAGGGAACACTGGCCTCTAGTCCATCTGGCAATAGGAAAGTGGGTTTTGGACGGTCCCTCCTCCAGAATGGCAACCCAGCTGGTTCCCAATGGGGGCTGCCTGGACTTTGACTCCAGGGCTAATCTCCAGCCACTGCTCTTCTCTCTCTCTCCCCCCGACATGCCTACAGCTTCCCTCGAAGAGCCCATTCAGGTCCGCGTGACCAACAAAACAACCGACTCAGCCACCCTTCAGTGGGAGCCCCCAAAAGCCCTCTCGGCGTGCCCCAATGCCCTGAAGAAATACATCATCTGCTGCAGAGAGGAGCAGGCCGGGGGCGTGACCGGTGAGTGTGGGGCCCTGGACCAGGCGCAGCAGGACAGCGAGGCCTCAAGAGCGGGACTCTGCTCGCTTGGTCTGGAAGCCACCAGGCCGCCTCCTCTGGCCGTTAGTACAAGAGCGGATGGTCCCGGAGGGTGAGTGTGCTGTGGCCGGACCCTCCCAGAGCAGTGAGAAGACAGGCGGCAGGCCCAGGTGGTGCCATCCTGACATGTTCCTTTGTCATTGTGCAGACTACGACGCCAACCCCTTGGAAACGCACTACACGGTCCTGGGCCTTCAGCCCAATACCACCTACCAGGTCGGGGTCTGGGCCTCCACTGGCGAAGAGGACGGGGCTTGCCAGCCCCTCACGTCCTTTCGAACGCGTCCTCCTCCAGGTGTGTAGCTGAGGGCTGCTCCTCCCTGCGTCCCAGCAGGAGCAGCAGCCCCTCAACACTCTCTTCTCCCTCCCCAGATCCCAAAAAAGTGACTTTGGCCCTCAGCTTCTGGTATTTGGGGATCTTCGGAGGCCTCCTGACCGCCGCCGGCATCTTCTGTTTTGGCAAGAAAAGGTGATGCGAGCTACTAGCCGCAACGGCTAAGGGGTACGAGCTCTGGGCTGTGCGGCTGGACAGATGGCGAGGGTGTTGTGGCCAAGTGCTTCATCCACCCGCTTACTCCTGTTAAGTACAAAACACAGGGTGGAGAGCAGCCGCCGCCGACACCTCTCGGGTAGGGCAGACCCTTCACCTGCCAAAGGCCCCTCGCTTTGCTCTTCCATTATGGTGGCAGAGGCCACTCCCTGCCTGAGAGCCGTGGCCGGTCGCAGAAGGCAGGAGTTAGCCAGTGGCCTGAAGCCTGTGTGAGGCCGTTTCATGGGGGGGGAGGACCCATATCCCTGTGGCAGAGCCCCGGCCTTGCGCTCCAAGGCTCCCAGGTTCAATCCTGATCCCAGCTAGGTAGGAACAGAGGTCATTTTGGGGGGAATCGCGGGGGATCGCAGTTCCCCCGAGTGAGGTACGGGGGGCGGGGCACATGACGAAGCCCCACCCCCTGCTTCTGGCCGCCCCGCTTCCGGCCCTCATTCAGCCAGGAGGAGGCAGGAGAAGAGGGAGGGTAAGTTGCTTCCTCCCTGCCTCTCCCCACCCCTGCCTGCCTGGGGCCAGGGAGGGCCTTCGCGGGGCTTCCTTGCACTCCCTCATGGGGCTCGGCAGTGGAGCTGCAAGGCCGGTGGCGGCGGCCGGGACCGTTGGGGGCGGGGTGTGTGGCCTTATGACACACTTCTGGTGATGTCAGGGGGTGTGGCCTTATGACACACTTCCGGTGATGTCAGGGGATGTGGCATATGCTAATGAGTTATGCTAATGAGTTCCCCTAGCTCTTTTTCTACGAAACGACCCCTGGGTAGGAAGCCTAGTCAGAGAAGGTGGCGCTGGGCCAAATGGCATAGCGGTCTGGTGCCAGGGCAAGATGGCAACAACCTAGAGCCAACAGCCCTCCCGAAGCCACCAAGTGAACTCTGGAGCCACTCTGAGGTGCCCCGGTTTGTGTTTCACAACCACCACGACAGCCCTTTCAAAGCAGCCAGAGCATTATATGTGCAAAATGTTGGGAACTGGGAGGACCAATGTTCTCTCTAAGCTGAGTTAGTGTGAGCTAGCTCACAGTTTTTTTAGCCTCCGGCTCACGCATTTTTGTCTTAGCTCAGGAAGGATGGCTCCAGAGCAAACTAATTTATGCAGTAGCCAAACTGCTTGCTCACAACTTTAGTGCCAGTAGCTCACAAAGTAGAATTTTTGCTCACAAGACTCCACAGCTTAGAGGGAACCTTGGGGAGGACCCTTTAATGGACAGCCGCCTGAAAGAGCTGGAGGTAAGGGTGCCAGGCTCCAGGTGGGGCCTGGGGATCCCCTGGAATCACAGCTCATCTCCAGACTACAGATATTCGTCCCCCCCTGGAGAAAATGGAGGCTTTGGAGGGGGGACTCCATAGTATTGTACCCCACTGAGGTCCCTGTCCTCCCCAGGCTCCATCCCCAAATCTCCAGGAGCTTCCCAACCTGGATCTCGCAACTTTACCCCCCCCCAATCCCCTGCCAGTGGCCAGGGGGGTCCAGCAGCGACCCTAGCTGGAGAAGGTCTTGATCCAGTTCGTAGCTCATTCACAAGGTGGCCTGAGAGAATCTGCCCAGTCAAAGGTCCCTCCCCTATCTGAAGTATGGGGATTATTGTATTGCCCCCTCCCCCCACAGGGCTGTGGAAGGTTTTTGCATACCTTGAAGAGATGTGCGCTGTTTTCAGGACGAAGCCCCTCCCATCATGCAGCTCTCTTGCTAACACCCCCCCCCCCCGCTTCTCTCCTAGGGCCAAGGAGGTGCTCTGTTCTGCCCTGCCCGACCCTGCAAACACGGAGGCTGTCAAGGTCACCAGCGTCACAGAGGCAGCTCAGGTGAGACTCCAGCTTCAGGTCTGAGCCTAACAAAACTGCCTTGTATCTTGCCTGTCCTCCCCCCCCCCAAGTCTCCTGCAAGGCGTCGCTCCCCTGCTCCAGGGGAGGTTTGTCTCTGGAGCTGCCGGAGATTGAACCCGGCGGCACCCTCTGCGTGCTAAGCCCGTGCTCTGCCTGTGCCCCTCCTCGGCAGACCAGACGCAGCAGAAGGGGAGTTCATTGGACTCTGAGCCAGACGAAACGTGGCGGTGAACGCTTGGCTGCCGTGGGTCTGCCACCCCTATTTTACAGTGATTTTGAAATGCTGCAAGACCCCGATCCAGTATGGATGGGCCTATGGCGTGGAGCTCTTCCCCTCCACCCCACAGCTTCTCAAAACAGGCGTGGGGGAGCCACACACAGACATACCCCCATGGCTGCTTTGGCACTTGAAAAGCTGGTGTGTGTGTGTGTGTGTGAGGGGGAGAGATTCCATACCATGGGTACGCACCAGACTGGAGCCTCGCAACATTTAAAAACCACTGTCATACAGTGCCAGCGCATCACGTTTAGTTTGGCTCTCTGAGTCCATCTGCCTCAGGCATCTCTTCTCTGGCTGCCCAGGCCTCCCGAGGGGCCTGAAGGTGAGCGGGGGGGGGAGTTCTCACCCACCCCTTGCTGCCTCAAGGTGCTGCAGATTTGGCACAGGAGCCATGGAGTGAGAGGCCCATCCAGAGATCTGAGCCTGTGCCTCTCCTCAGTTAACTCACTGTCCCACGGCCACAAAAGACAATCTTGCCCCCAGAGAGAGATTCAATGGATGACAGTGACAGATGCCACTCGAGGCCAGCTCCGGGTTTTGTGGGGCCTGGGCAGCAGAGTTTAACTGGTGACCACCTTGCTCTTTGGGACCACCCCGTCCTCCCCTAGCCCTTCCTCTGTGCCATACTGTCCACTCCCGCTGGCTCCACCCTTCCTCTTCAAACCACCACGAAGGAGACAGCTTGAGTCCAGTGGCACCTTTAAGACCCTCAAAGTTTAAGCTTTCGTGTGCATGCAACAAGATTTAATTTTAATGTGTATAAGCTTTCACATGCATGCAAAAAGGTTTAAATCTGGATATAAGCTTTTGTGTGCATGCAACAAGATTTAATTTTAATGGACATAAACTTTCATGTGCATGCAGCAAGGTTTAATTCTGGGTATAAGCTTTCGTGTGCTTGCAACAAGGTTTAATTAAACTCTGTTGGTCTTATAGGTGCCCGACTCGACCCAAACTTTGTTCTGTTGCTTCAGACCAACACGGCTACCCCCTTGAATCTATCCACAGCTCAGGAGGATGGAGCAGACTAGCAGGAGGGGGTAAACTGCTTTGCTGCCACTCTAACCTGGGAGCTCTGGCCTCCCACCAGCCTGCTCCATTCTTCTTGAGGCTGCTGCTCCCCTGAGGACAGGGAAGGAAAAGCAGGGCCCCAGTGGGTCCCCAGCTTGCTCCACCTCACCTATTGTAGATGTGAGTCCCCAGGGGTCATTTCATAGAAAAACAGGTGCTGGGACTCATTAGCATAACTTATTTGCATATGCCACACACCCTGACATAACTGTAAGCATGTCAGAAGGCAACACCCACCGCTCAGGCTCCACCCCAAAAATCTCCAGGTATTTCCCAACTCAGAGCTGGCAAACCTACCTGGAGAAAAACTGCTTCAAAAGCACATCTGGGGAAGGGAACGAAAGGCATTTAAATCCCCCCAGGCAGCAGGGAGGGGGGATGTGCAGGCCTTCCCTGGCTCCATTGGCCTCAGCACACGGGCCAGGAAAGGCAGCGGCGGGGCACCCCTGGGCTCCTTACTGCCGGAGCGCCATTTCGGCGTGCTCCGGCAGGATATGACCCCTGCCAGAACCTGATCCAACTGATGAAGATCAGCAAAATGTGCAACTGTTGCAACTCATTCTAGGTTTTGTGCCGTCTCCTTCATTTTCGGTCTATTGCTGCCTCCCCCCATCCACACTTCTTTTCACGTGGGTAAATATATATACCAAGGCTGGTGTCATCTTTATATTTAATTCTGAATATTGGCTGCAGGGTGTGGATCAAAAAATCCGCACCATGGGTCCATTTGCAGAGGGGGGATTTTCTACAAAACCCTAGGTTTGCAGGAAAATATCAAAACTTTAAAAAGGAGGGGTAAAAACCACCCGGTGGAGGATGCCCTCAGATATCTCATGAAACCTTGCAAGACCACTGTTGGAACAGTAGGGCTGCCAAGGAACTGAGGCCCTGGAGCCTGGGACTGGATAACCCTTAGGAAGGAGGGGAAGACAGAGTGTTGAGCAAGGAAGGGGCGAGATAAAGTGGAGGCCACTAGGGGCATAGGATTTCCTGCCCCTGTGCACCTCACAGGTCCCCAGCTTGCATGGGACCTAACTCTCTCTGCATTTCACAGGTGCGACTGAAACAGGGGTTTATAGAACCTCTGGAGTCCAGCAGCCCTACAGAGCCTTTCCTTGTAGAACTGCCACCCGAAGGAGAGCCATCTGCCAACACAAAAGTGGACTCACCAGGCATTGCCAGACAAGTGGAAGAATTT